TAGCGGCAGCCTTCCCGCAGCAGCAGCGACATCGTCGGGGCCGTCGCGGCCCCAAGGCAGGGCGTGGTGGTGGTGGCGGCGACAGTGGTTCTAACGAGGGGGCAGGCGTCCAGGAGCAGCGACAGCAGCAGTAGTCGCAGCAATAGCCGCAGAAGCAGCTGCACCAGTAGCAGCCGCAGCAGCAGCCCCAGCAATAGCAGCAGCAGCAACTGTGGTCCCGCCTCCCGCCGGGGTGGCCCGGAGCCCTTGGAGGGGGTCGTCGAGGTGGCGGTCCTCGCAGCTCGGCGTCTACCGGCGGCTTCGGTGCTGTGGGCTGCCAGCACCAGCTCCAGACCGGACCCCTTCGTGGCACTGTGTGTCGACGTCCGCACCCGACAGCCCGTTGCTTCCACCGCCTCGACGGCCTCTTTCGTCGCCGCTTCGGCCCGGCCCCGGACCTCCCTGGCTGGCCTAGTCTGCTGCGCCACGGTGTGCCTGTTTTTGACCTAGACATGGATAAGATTAGTTCTGCCTTTCATTCTCTGTATGCTGACGCTTCTAGTGTGTCCGGATCTTATTACCCCGTGTTCTCTAGCTTAGGCGTAGAAACTGTGTGTAGTACAGACACCCCTACCGCGTCAGCAAAGGACCATTTGCTTTGTCTAGTCTAGACTCCACACTCGCTCCTCCTCCGTCTGCCGCTATTACTTCGCTGTCCTTCACACTTAACTCCGGTGTGTCTGACTGCTTCTTCCGCGACCACGCTGCACATACGCCGCTTGCCGCGCCTGCCGCCGTCTGGTCATGTACTCGCTCGCAGCTACACTACCCTTCCCTATCCAGCGGTCTCCTTGGGTTCCCCTACAGGCCTACACATCCCCTCGTTCTCCCGTAACTTAGTCGGTGTCAGCTGTCTTCAGGACCTCAACGTCACCACTACGTTCCCGGGTCACGAGCGGTACGCCGTCTGTACCAAGGCCGTCTCAGGTTCCCCCCTTGCGACATTCCCCCGGGACCCCGTGTATGGCCTCTTTACGTTGGACACTGCTCCCCCCCCCCCCGGTGGGGCGTCCTCCCCGGGTCCTGCATGTACCCAGGTCGCCGCTGCGTGCTTGTATCGGTCGCTCACTTACCCGTCGCTTCGGTGGCACCACCGCCTAGGTCACCCCACACTCCCGCGTCTGCGTCACATGTCCCAGCATGGTCTCGTCGTAGGTCTCTTTGCGTCGCTTCCTGCCGTCCCTCCCTCGCCGGTGCCACCGTGCACGCCCTTCGTCGAGGGCCCGCTCCGCCGTGCTCCTCACTCCTCCTCGCTTCGTCCTGCCACCGCACCCCTCCAGACCCTGCACCCGGACGTCTAGGGCCCAGCCCCCGTCCCTGGACCGCGTCGCGAGCGCTTCTTCCTAGTGCTCGTTGACAACTAAACGCGCTACACCACGGTGTTTCCCTTGGAGCGGAAGGCCGATGTGCCCGACGTTCTTATTTCGTTGGTCGTCGCTGCGCCCCTCCACCGCGGTCTCCCTGTGCTCTGTCTCCACTCCGACCGTGGTGGCGAGTTCGCCTCTTGCCAGCTTGGACAGTTCTGTCGTGTGGATGGCATCACCCGGTCGTACACCCTACTGGACTCCCCGCAGCAGAATGGGGTCACTGAGCGACGCATCGGCTTGGTTATGGAGGTGGCCCGTACCTCCATGATCTATGCCGGTGCACCCCATTTTCGGTGGTCGTTCGCCGTTTGCTACGCCGCACACCAGCTTAACCTCTGGCCGCGCTCCCAGCGGCCGCAGGTTTCGCCGACCCTTCTTTGGATCAGGTTCCCTTGTAACGCGTCCGCGTTCCACGTCTTGGGCTGCCTCGCTCACGTTCATGCCTCTAGCACGGACAAGCTCACTGCCCGCACTGTCCCCTGTGTCTTTCTCGTTTTTCCCCTGGACTCGTCTGACTGGCACTTTTACCACCCGCCGTCTCACCGCTTCTTTCACTCCCGTGACAACACTTTCGACGAGTCTGTCTCATTTTATCACCGCTTTCCCCACCGAGGTCTCCTGATTTCCCCCCCTATTTCTAGTCCCCACTCCCCCGGTAGCCCCTTCTCACCTTCTTCCCCGTCCTGCTCCGTCTGGGGTGTCTCACGTCACTCCCCTCCTGTCGGTTGTCTCGGTCGAGGAGTCGGCTGACACTGGTGGCCCTGCGGCGCAGTTCTTGCCGCATGTCTCTCCCCCAATGTCTCCTCCACCATCGCAGTCGCCGCCGCCACAGCCGTCGCCGCCGCCGCAGCTGCCGCCATCGTTGCAGCAACAGCAGCCGTTCGTGGACTCTGGGGGTTCTGGCGTTGAGGAGGGTGCTAGTCCTGGGGTTGCTGTCGAGGCTTGTCCCGGCGGGCTCAGGGGTGGCCCCGGTACTGGAGAGGGTTCTCGCTCTGGGGGTGCTCGTTCTGGGGTGTTTGAGAGGAGTGTTCCGGAGGTAGCCGCAGTGCACTTGACGGTCCAGGTGTCGGCGTCGAGCAGCAGCAGCAGCAGTCGCAGCCGGTGTCAACCCTTTACCTGCTCGGCCTTCCCTCCCCTGACCGCTCGCTTGCGCCTCCCCCGCCGCCTCCTCCCCTTCCTGTCCCCGGTCCTGTGTTTCCTCCGCCAAACTCGTCCCCGGCTCGTTTTCCACCTCGTTCCACTCATGTTACTCCTCCTTTGCCTCCTGACCCGGCGCCGCCGTCTTACTTCTGGACTCGCCGTCCCTCTCGTGCTCGTCCAGTCTCCCCTGTTTAGCGTTCTCACCCTATGTTTCTTTGTTTCCACGTGTCTCGTCCTCCCAACATGCCTTCGCCTCCTCCGTCGTTGCTCGCTGTCGCGCCTCCCCCTCTGTCTGACTACCTCTGTGCTGCTCGTCCTCTTGTTCCTCGGGTCCTTGCCTCCCTCGTCACCGACCCGTCTGTTCCTCTCTCGATTCTTGACGCTCTTGTCGCTGCTGTCGCTGACTTCGCCTCTACCCGCCGCCTTGATTACGCCACCGCTCTGGTCTCTAACCCTGTCCGTCCTCCGTCCGTCGGGGGTGCTCCTCCCCTTGGCAACGACTTCGTAGAGGACATGCAGTACGAGCTTGCTTCCCTATCCGAGGCTGCTCCCCATCTCTGCTCCATGCGTCCAGTCCCTGAGGGTGACCCAAATGCCTTAGACATTCCGACCTCTCGCATTTACGCTGAGGCGACCTCGGGACCCTAGGGCTCACAGTGGATAGCTGCCATGGAGCAAGAGATGGCATCTTGCAGGCTACCGGCACCTACGTCGACGCAGTTTCTCCACCTGGGGTGAACGTAGTCGATGGTCGGTTGCTCTTTACGATGAAGCGCCCCCCTGGAGAGCCGCCTACGTGGCTAGAAGCTTCAGTCAGCGAGAGGGGTTGGACTTCTTTCAGACCTTCGCCCCGACCTCGAAGATGACTACTCTTCGGGCGCTGCTACATATAGCAGCACAGCGTGACTTCAAGCTCCACTCCCTAGACTTCTCCACTGGTTTTCTTCAGGCCAGCCTACACGAGCAGGTCTACCTTCGCCGACCGCAGGGCTTCACCGGTACTTTCCCTCCTAGAACCAAGTGGCTCCTACGACGCCCGGTCTACGGCCTGCGACAGGCGCCTTTTGAGAGGCACGATACGCTGCGTGCTACGCTAGCTGACCTGCAGTTTTTGCCGTCCTCTGTATACCCTTCACTCTTCGTTTGTGCTGGCCAGACTCCGTTCTACATCTTTGTCTATGTAGACGACCTGGTCTTCGCTTCTGTAGACAGAGACGCACTGGCCTCTATGAAGGCCGAGCTGCTGAGGTGACACACCTGCACTGACCTAGGAGAGTTGCGCCGCTACCTTGGCCTGCAGATCTCCAGGGACACAGCAGCGTGCACCATCACTCTCACACAGTCACACTTGGTGCGCCATGTCCTTCAGAGGTTCGGTCTTCAGTTCTCCTCCGCATAGCCCACACCTCTGCCAGTAAGCCACAGGCTCTCTGCTCTAGTTCATGAGGATTCAGTAGAGCCCAGTGGTCCTTACGCAGAGCTGGTGGGTTGCCTCATGTACCTGATGACCTGCACGTGTCCAAATCTCGCATACCCTCTCAGCATCCTGGCTCGCTTTGTGGCCACAGGCAGACACCGACCACAGCACTGGTCGGCCGCTAAGAGGGTTTTGCGTTATCTAGCAAGTACATCGGGCATGGGGTTAGTGCTGGAAGGACGCAGGCCAGTGGTCCTTACTGGGCACACAGACGCTTCTTGGGTAGACGACACTGTGACCCTCAGGTCCTCCCAGGGCTACTGCTTTAGCCTTGGTTCAGGTGCCATCTCATGGAGGTCCAGTCGCTCCTCGTCTGTTGCCCAGTCTAGCTGTGAGCCTAAGATCTACGCCGGTGCCATGGCGGTACAGGAGCTCCGCTGACTTACCTTCTTGCTTGCCGACTTAGGTGTGCGGCCTAGCTCTGCCCCGGTTCTGTACGCTGACAACATGGCCATGATCCTCCTATGTCAGGAGCCTCGACTCGAGGGCAGAGCGAAGCACATCCAGCTGCGGTACTTCCTCCTGCGCGAGCTACAGCAGCGTCGCCAGGCCCGCGTAGTACACTTGGCATATGGTGCCAACACAGCTGATATGTTTACTAAGGCGCTTGCTCTTAGAGATCATCAGCGGCACTGTTTGCAGCTTGGTCTAGTTCCTGTAGACTCTCACTTGCTAGGACCTTGATTGTGTACTCTTGCTGACTGGTCTTCGGACCCTTGCCTCTGAGGTTGGACTAGTAGTGCCACCCTGAGCTGCGTGTTTCTTGCTCAGCACTACCCCTTGTCTAGCATAGGGGGTGTGTCGACTTATACAAATGTTAGTATGCAAAAGTTATAGGCTAGATAGGTGCATGTTCTTAGAGAGTACAACTCGAGACCTATATCTCTGTTCATCCTTGTTTCTACTCAATTCTCATATTCTAACAATATACTGTATACGAACACAACAATACTAGCGCATATAAATGCAGAAGTACATGTAACGTGAAATGGTTATTGCATGACTAATTCACAGCATATTACAAACTAAAAAAAAGCGGCTGCAGGGGCTTATGTCCAGATAAAATAACACTCTATTCTATTACAAACCTTGGTATATGGGGAGTAGGCTTGGACTCTAGACGAGGTGACTACTGCCAATTTGGTAGTGCCTGTATTGCGAGATGGCCCAGTTCCTTGCTCGTATTCTACCGTAGAAGTTGAGGGAGAGGCTCGTGATTGCTGGGATGGTGGTGATGGTGATGCTGGTTGGTGGCACGACATCGATGGTGCTGCTTGTGATGAGGAGATGCATGGGGGCAGGCACCAGAAGAGCTTCTCTGGTGCTCCACTGGTGGACCAGTAAAACTTCTCTCAAGCCTCTCTGGAGCACTGGGGAAGCTTCTCTGAAGACTCTCTGGAGCACCGGAGAAGCTTCGCCTCCTTGGGCAGGCTCCGGACCCAGTGAAACTTCTCCGAAGCTTCTCTGTAACCCCAGAGAAGCTTCGTCTTTTAGGGGCAACGGAACGGACAGTGGAGGTGCGGGAGGGAGCAGATTCAAGGGAGTAGTCGCAGTATCTGTGGGAGGGAGGAGGAGGCATGGCTCCGAGTGAATAGGACCTCCTCCTTGGCTCGTCGTAATACTCCAGATCAGCCTTCCATGAGCGCCCATGCTGCGTATATCCCTCAGCCCCTTGTTGCATGGACTTTCCAACAGTCACCCCTTGCCACACTTCACCAGCCAAGCCTCCTGCACCCCGTTCAGCAAGACCCCACTCTGCCCCCCACTCTGCCCCCCACTCTGCCCCCCACTCTGCCTCTGCCTCCGCTTCCTGCTGCTGCTTCTTCTCCTCCTCCCTTCCCGTTTCCAATTCCTCTTGCTGGAAACCCTCTCCTTCTCCCTCCTCTTGACGAAACTCCCCTCTCCCCTCTCTAGGCGCCCCCCCTTGCGCCTGAAAGGCGGCCACGAACCGCTCGCACCGCACGCTGCTGAGCGCCCTGTGCGCGTCCAGCAGCTGCAGCCGCCCCTCCAGCGCCTGCAGCGCCACATCATCCGACAGCTGGCGCCCCAGCAGAAGCCGCCGGAAGGTTCCGCGCAGCGAGAGGGCAGGGGACGCGAAGGGAGGGGGGTGAGCAGAGTGAGAGGGGGGAGAGGGGGACGCGGAGGGGGGAGGGGGGTGAGTGCAGGGAGGTGGCTCCAGCTGATGATGCTCCGCTTGATAAGACACGAGCGTTACGGTGGCCATGGCTGGAGGAGTTGGAGTCTTGCAGTGGTTCTCAGAGTTCAAGTCTTGGAGTTCGGCCTGAAGAGTCTGACTCGTCAAGTGCAGTGCATAGCAGCTTTGCGATTCTGCTAAGCTGGTGCACGGGTTTCCGGACCCCCTGGTTGCGACGCGTTGGACGACGCGGAGGCGACGCGAGGCAGCTTGGTTGGCTGGATCGGTACTCCCAAGGTTTGGGATTGCCAAGGCCAGGAATTCCCAAGGAGGGACGACTCCGTACTCCAACAACGGAGAGCGACGAGGGGTTTCTATCACCACTATTACCGAGCAATAGTGAAGCTCGACGGGCTGACAGGAATTTGTTGTAGCGGCAACGGCGGGAGGCGGGACACTACTACCAATGGCATTAGCATCATGGCAGCATGACGTTGCGGCTGAGTCAACTCAGCAAAAGCATAAGCAGGCCAGCTAGCAGCCCCACGTGACCGCTTATCCCGGCTGGATGAGGCGACCAATGGCGCTCGTCCCTGGCATTGGTTTCGTCTCAAGTTGAGAGGATAAAAGCACGGATAAAGCACGGATCCGGCGTGGGAAGTGACGCCCAGATGAGCTCTCACGAATCCATGCCATGCCATCCACCCACCTTCTGAGAGGGAGGCTCTCGCATTGCTTCAAGCAGCTAGCTGTTGCTCTAGTCCTACGTAGCGGGCTGCCCGCATGATGCGGCATTCGACAGGGATCGGTCGCTGCGCTGTGTTTCGAACTCCACGGGAGAGGCGGCACTTTACCCCTGGGATTGGCTGCCAGTTCGATATGGTCAGATCCGATTCAGATTGGCCAGCAACACTTTCAAACGCCTTCCGTTGGAATACAATAACTGAACAGGGCTTCCCCTTCCCCCTACCCCTCCTCTCAGAGGCTCTCGTCCTCCTCTTCCTCCTCCTTCTCGCTCGTTCCTCGTATACCTTGCTAGGATCCACGAACATGAGGCGACGAACATGAGGCGACGAACATGAGGCCGAGGGATGCTGCGGCTCAGCAATCTCTTATGCGCGAGAGAGCGGATTCCGGTCATTTGGCTCGTCGGCAATTCTATGCATACTGATTCTCAGGCGAAGGATTACTGTACTGTGCTGTACAGAACTGCACTGTACTGGACTGTAATGAACAGCATAAAAGTCTGGCGTAGGATACTAAAGCTTGGTGGAGGAGACTAAAACTTTGGCGCGGGCTAAGCTTGGTAAAACCTGGGCTTGTCGTGGTACTGTACTGTAGCATATTAAAAGCTTTTGTCCGCAGAGAAGCAAACAGCCTCCCATAAGGCGAATGGTGAGTCTCGAAATAACTAGATTTCTTGGACGGACCAACCGCAGGCGCTGCTGATTTTCTTAGGTCCCTGTATGCCTTGCTATGCTAGCTGTCAGAGGAAGTTCGTTGGAAATTGGATCGGAACAGCTAGGCCGCTCTCTCCGCCATGAGAGAGCCTTTATGACGCGTCGCGTGGCATGTGGTACGAAAGGGTAGGAGGAGGAGGCAGGGCAGGGCACAGAAGGCCCGTTGCTGGAGCATGTTGCCACATCACTGCCCTCCTCCATACCCCCAAATAGGGCGTGTATCTTACAGTTCCGAAACCCGGGTGGCGCGGAGCTCGGACAGGTTACGCATCTCGCGGTGAATCTCGATGTGGCTTCGTGAATCTTCCCCCTGGCAAAATCTCGCCGATTTCGAAACTTGTTCCGGAATTTCATGGTAGGAGCTGCGACACACACGCCCTTATCCTCCATGCACTCCTTTTTCTCTTCCTCCGATTTCCTCTCCTCTGTCCCTTTCCACCTTACGAACTGCCCAGTCCATTGTCTTGTCTTGGCATGCCTCTCGTAGCAAGGTTAAACGCGGTTGAGTAGGGCGGAAAAGGCTTCAGCAGGACACCAGTGCGGTTGCAGACCTCAAACCTCGGGACTGGTCGCTTGTCCTGTACAAAGCCCTTGATGATTTGATTTGGTGCGTTGGGCAACGGAAATTTGAGGGAGGGTAGAGTAAACTGCAATAACTACGACTGTTCGTATAGGATAGCGTTTCCACTTTAGAGATATCGAGTGGTATTGTAAGGGCAAATAGAAAGATGCTATGGAATCAGCAGGAAAGTTAGACGCCATGGCACATGCAGACATGGATAAGTTTTTGAATTGGGGGCTACAATTGCACCATAATCCAAATGGACGGGAAGCATGAGTCTGGGAACATGGGGGAACAATGCAAGCTTCCATGATCCCAGCTGTACCATTTCTCGTCAACCTACTAGAGTAGTCGCCTGGGCACAATTAGCAAATCATAACCACCTGTTGCTACAATTTTTCATATCGTGCAAATGTTGCTGAAGCTGGCTCCGCTAAAGGCTGGAGAGAGAGGTGGTTGCATAGCTGTGGCAGCGCCTTGAGGCCACACTGCTACAGCCATGGCACCTCAGCGGCGTGCTAGGAGATATCACTTGCTGCTGCTGGATCTGGGGCGGGTTGGGGCAGTGGTTGCATGGCTGTAGCAGCGCCTTGTAGCCAGGCTGCTACAGCCTTGGCCCCGGGATCAGGCACTGATGCGAGCACCTCTGCCGGCACATAGCTGGATCGGCCAGCCTGCAAGGGAATGGGGGATGGGAGGGAGAGACGGATCCAAGTAATGTACGAGCACACAGCCAGCCATTGCTACTGGGATCAGGCACAGAATGCTAGCACCTCTGCTGGCACATAGCTGGACTGGCCCCCCAGGGGATGGGAGGGAGACATGGGTCCAACACTTGTCGGGTGAATGCACGAGCACACAAGCAGCCTTGGCCCCGGAATCAGGCACTGATGCCAACACCTCTGCTGGCACATAGCTGGACCGGCCGGCCTGGAGAAGAATGGGGAATGGGGGGGAGTCATGGGTCCAACACTTGTCAGGTGATAGCAGGAGCAGGTGATTGCACGAGCATGTGATTGCACGAGCAGGTGATTGCACGAGCAGGTGATTGCACGAGCAGGTGATTGCACGAGCAGGTGATTGCACGAGCAGGTGATTGCACGAGCAGGTGATTGCACAAGCACACAAGCAGCCTTGGCTGCAGGATCAGGCACTGATGCCAGCGCCTGCTAGGACATAGCTGCACCAGCCAGCCTGCAAGGGCATGGGGGATGAAAGGAAGGGAGCTTCAGGCACTGATGCCAACTAATGCTGACACTTACACTGGCGCATAGCTGCACCCACTGGCCGGGAGGAGATGGGAGACACGGATAGAGGTGGCTCAACGAATGACAGGGAGTGGTCGACTCACCAGGGCTGGCATTGACTTGGTTGACTCTGCCCCTGCAGCAGCAGCTTCAGCAGCTGCTGCCAGCGCTGCTGCTGGTGGTTCTCCTGCCTTAACCTTCTGAGAGAGGGTGGCGGCAGCAGGCAGGAGGGCATCCAGCATGGTCCTGTACCCTGCTTGTGCCCCGCCGTACAGACTCACAGCTGACACAGCGGCTTCAAACGCAGCTGCCCCTGGTAAAACCGCGAGGGGAAGATGGGGGGAGGGTGGGATGAGTTCGTTTCAGGGCAATCTTCTCACGGAAATTTATGAATCCAGCCACCGGTCAGATTCTGGCAAAGCCGTCTCAGGTTTTTAAGAATCCTCGAAATACAGCCACCAGTCAGACTCTGGCAAAGCCGTCACAGGTTTTTGAGAATCCTCGAAATACAGCCACCAGTGAGCTTCTGGCAAAGCCATGGAAATGCCTCACTACTTCAAGCCATGGAAATGCCTCACTACTTCAAGCCATGGAAATGCCTCACTACTTCAAGCCATGGAAGTGCCTCACCACTTCAAGCCATGGAAGTGCCTCACTACTTCAAGCCATGGAAGTGCCTCACTACTTCAAGCCATGGAAGTGCCTCACTACTTCAAGCCCTGGAAGTGCCTCACTACTTCAAGCCATGGAAGTGCCTCACTACTTCAAGCCATGGAAATGCCTCACTACTTCAAGGTGTGCTATCAAACGAGGCACTAGGTGCGACCAGGGCACTAGGCACTAGTTCGCACACGGGCAGGAGCAGGAAAAGCGGAACCATCGAAAGCCAATGGAATTGGTGAATGGCAGTTAAACCAAGGGGCGTCACAAGGGCGTCAGAAGGGTGTCAGAAGGGCGTCAGAAGGGCATCAGAAGGGCATCAGAAGGAACACCAGAAGGCCAAAAAGAATCGAAGGGTTGAGGTGGGAGAGACGAACAGTGTGCAGGGATGGGTTGTGCTGACCCTGCAAGCTCTCTCAGCTTCACATATGCTGACCGGCAGAAGATGTCATATCTGAGAGAGGAGGGGGTGGGACAGGCGGGATGGAGAAGGTGGATTGAGAGAAGGGAAATGAGTGGTGGAATTTGCCAGAGTGGGATCCTGTGAGCTCCCTCAGCTACACATGCGCTGAGCGGCAGCAGATGTCGTGTCTGAGAGGGGCCGGGGGGGGGGAGGGGGGGGAGGGGGAGGGGGGGGAGAGCTGGAACGAGGAGGAGAATCTGAGCAAGGGGATTTCAACGGTGAAATCTCTGGACACAGCTGCAGGGTGGGTTGCACTGCTGCTATCAGCTCCCTCTGATTCACATATGCTGAGCGGCAGAAGATGCCACATCAGAAGATGCCACATCAGAAGATGCCACATCAGAATATGCCACATCAGAATATGCCACATCAGAAGATGCCACATCACATCAGCCCACTTGTCCCCCACCCACACTCGCATGACTCCGCTCGTCTCTCTTATCGTGCGTCGAACTGTGGCTCCTATCCCCCTCGCTGCTGGTTCAACTTCAACGTGCCCTGTGTATGCTCCTTTCTCCCTCACATCTCTCAAAAGTAATCGCCACCTGCCACATCTCTCTAACGCTCACACGCACTCTGCTTGCCACTCACACAAATCCGCTCGTCCCTCCCATGGTCCGCCGAATGGTGGCCCCTGTCTCCGTCACTGCTGCTTCGACCGCAACGTGCACACTCACGTCTCTCTCTAAATCCCACAAGAGCCATCGCCTCCCTTCACCCCTGCGCTGCTTGCCACTCACATTACACCGCTGGTCCCTCCCATGGTGCGCCGAACCGTGGCTCCTATCTCCTTTACTGTGGCTGGAGCATCGTTGAGGGGGTATCTGGGGGAGGAGGGGGGAGACGAAAACGAGGGAGCACAAGGAATGTGTTGCAGGGGGGTCGCTGAGGTTGAAGGGGTACCTTTGAGAGAGAGGGAGGGGGACATGGAGTATGCTGCAGGGCGTCATTCAGAAGTCGTGAGGGGATGGGGTAGGGGCTAGGAGAACAAGCAGGGAGACAGGAGAAGGAAGGAAGCACACAAAGGGAGAGGGGGAGGGGGGGTGGGGTGGGGGAGGAAGAAAGTGCAAGGGAAGAGTACGGACCTTGAGGCGAGGGCGTCTAGGACTGCCTTGGCCCCACGACTCATCTGAATGCAGGGCAGCAGGAGGGGGGTGGGTGGGTGGGAAGGGAAGAGCACAACTCAAAACCCACTGGCAGCACTGGCAGCACGGGCAGCACTGGCAGCACGGGCAGCACGGGCAGCACTGGCAGCACGGGCAGCGCCTCACACCATACCCCTCAAAGTGCTGCTGCCTGCCATGCAATCCAGCGACCCCTTCCCTCCCTCCACCTCCACCACCACTCACCGTGCTGCCACAGTCGCCGTCCCCTATCTTGGCATCCCATGCGTTCAGGTCTGCCACCACTGCCAGCACCGCTTCTGCCCCCCCTCGTATGCACCGCTCCATGCACGCGCCCTCCTCTGATAGGTCCTTGGGTCGCTCGCATAAGGATGATGCCTGGGGGCACATGTGCGTGTGGGGATGGAGTTGGGCACAGGGGCGTGGGGTTGGGGAGGGGGTGCAGTCAGGTCTGCCACCACCGCCAGCACCTCTGATAGGTCCTTGGGTTGCATGCATGAGGAAGACTGGGGCACATGTGTGCATGTGCAGGGGAGAAGATTAATTTTGAAACGTCTCAAACCAGCAGGGAAGAAGGACGGGCACAGAAGTCGCCCACAGAAGGAGAGAGACACAGGAGTCGGATGGATGGTTCTACACATAATGATCAGGAGTAGGAAACAACAGAACAGCTTGGCGCTCGAGTCAAGAGAGAGACTAACAACCCCCCAAAAAAACAGGACAAAAAGTTCTTGGTATGTCTGTCCCTCCATCCCTCTCAAACAGGATGGAAAGGAACATACAGCTTGAGAGTCCGCAGGGCCAGGAGGGAGCAGTACTGAAACCTTGGTGGCAGCACTTTTGAATCAACTCAAAAGTCACCTCGCTGAGTCGACTCAAAAGTTCTTCGTACATTGGGATGGAAAGAAACGTACAGCGTGAGAGTCTGCAGGGCCAGGGGGGAGCGGTACTGGAACCTTGGTGGCAGGACGAGCTCCTGGAGGGAGACCAGGGGAGGAGTGGAAGAGAGAGAGGGGCGATTTGACAAACGCATGTGTGTGTGTGAGAGCAAATGACACACGCTCACACTCACTCTCTCATGCACATGTAAAGCAGGATGCACTCTCTCACTCATGCAGGCACGGCTGCACAAAACGATGTGATGTCACTATTTGAGGCGGCTTACAAGCGTTTTTCTTCTTCTTCTTCTTCGTTCTCTTTTCTCTTTCTCTTTTCACGTGCACACTAATATGTATGGATGCACCCATCCATGTAGGCATGCCGTGCATTTTGAGTGTCCCATCCATGTGGACACTCAAAATACACCTAATATGTATGTATGGACGCACACACCCATCCATGTCAGCATGCAGTGGGCACAACTGGATGCCCTGCCAACCGGCATGAGTACAGATCTCTCAACAAAAATACCTTTTTGAGAATTATAAAAAATCACCAGCTGCATCACTTGACAGGCATGCGGCAGCGCTCACCTTGACAGGCATTGGGCCATGCAGGGGCGAGGGTTGAGGCATCTAGTCGCTGCAGTATTTGATCGTCCACCTTGAGGACCGAGAGGGAGAGACCTGTGTGCATAACCAGGCGGCAAGAAAAGTCAAGACGAGTCAGCAAGAGTCAATGGAAGTCAACACGTGGCCGTCCAGTCGCTGCAGTGTTTGATCGTCCACCTTGAGGACTGAGAGGGAGAGACATGTGGAACAAACAAGCAATGGGCACGGCAGGCAGGAGGAAGTGAGAGTCAACCCGTGCAAACTGCTGGGCGGTAAATTTAAGTGCAGGAAAATCCGACGGAATAAACCAAACAGCAACTGACAGGTGGGTGGTTGCCTGTGGTCACCTGACATGTCTAGTGACGTCATAGCAGTCTGACATGTCTAGTGACGTCATAGCACTCACCTGACATGTCTAGTGACGTCATAGCACTCACCTGACATGTCTAGTGACGTCATGAAGTGGCCCGCATACACTCGCTCCACTGCCAGCCCATGCTCCACCTGCCATGGTCGCACGCACACAGCGACACACATAGTGACAAACATAGACATGAGCGGATATAGTTGTGCATAGACTCGCTTCACTGCTAGGCCATTCAGCCATGGGCGCCCGGAGAGACACACTGAGAGACATGCAGAGAGAGACTGCGTGGTGAGTGGCTGCTGCCACTGGTTTAAGCGGCCTCTCTCCGCTGCTGGACCATGCTCCACCCACCGTGGGCCCCCATAGAGAGAGGCATGCGTACAAAAAGAGACACATGCATATAGACAGAGTGTGTATGGACCGACGTACAACCTGACTTCTGGGCCCATCTGCACGGTATAGCATCCATCCTTCACCCCACAGTACATCACCCATGCATCACCACCTGTAGCTGTGCTACATGCATCATCACCTGAAGCTGTGCTACAGCCTTGCCTGCCGCAATCATGACCTCCATGGCTGGGGTGGCGCCCAGGCTGGAAGGGGTCAAGAGTGGAAAGGAGGGGAGGGAAGGTGGAGGCAAGAAAGGGAGCACGGTTTGTGAGCGCGGAGGAGGGCCATCGTGGCGCCTCAAAGAGCGCGGAGGAGGGCCATCGTGGCGCCTCAAAGAGCGCGGAGGAGGGCCATCGTGGCGCCTCAAAGAGCGCGGAGGAGGGCCATCGTAGCGCCTCAAAGAGCGCGGAGGAGGGCCATCGTGGCGCCTCAAAGAGCGTGGAGGAGGGCCATCATGGCGCTTCAAAGAGCGGAGAGGAGGGCCATTGTGGCGCCTCAAAGAGCGCGGAGGAGGGCCATCGTGGCGCCTCAAAGAGCGTGGAGGAGGGCCATCGTGGCGCCTCAAAGAGCGCGGAGGAGGGCCATCGTGGCGCCTCAAAGAGCGCAGAGGAGGGCCATCGTGGCGCCTCAAAGAGCGCGGAGAAGGCCCATCGTGGCGCCTCAAAGAGCGCGGAGGAGGCCCATCGTGGCGCCTCAAAGAGCGCGGAGGAGGGCCATCGTGGCGCCTCAAAGAGCGCGGAGGAGGGCCATCGTGGCGCCTCAAAGAGCGCGTAGGAGGGCCATCGTGACCTCCATGGAAGAAGAAGAGGTAGGGTGGGGGGGAAGGGCAGGGAACGGGGGGTGAGGGGGAGGAATAGGGGGTGAGGGGGAGGAATAGGGGGTGAGGGGGAGGAATAGGGGGTGAGGGGGAGGAATAGGGGGTGAGGGGGAGGAATAGGGGGTGAGGGGGAGGAATAGGGGGTGAGGGGGAGGAATAGGGGGTGAGGGGGAGGAATAGGGGGTGAGGGGGAGGAATAGGGGGTGAGGGGGAGGAATAGGGGGTGAGGGGGAGGAATAGGGGGTGAGGGGGAGGAATAGGGGGTGAGGGGGAGGAATAGGGGGTGAGGGGGAGGAATAGGGGGTGAGGGGGAGGAATAGGGGGTGAGGGGGAGGAATAGGGGGTGAGGGGAGGAATAGGGGGTGAGGGGAGGAATAGGGGGTGAGGGGGAGGAATAGGGGTGAGGGGGAGGAATAGGGGGTGAGGGGGAGGAATAGGGGGTGAGGGGAGGAATAGGGGGTGAGGGGGAGGAATAGGGGGTGAGGGGGAGGAATAGGGGGTGAGGGGAGACACAGGGGATGCGAGGACAGGGGAGGAAAGAGACGACGAGGGAGGGCAGCGCAATCAAGCATGGCGCGCATGAAAGGAGAGAAGACGAGAGCCACTCACCTGTTGACCATACGAGCAGCTCACCTGTTGACCATGAGAGCAGCTCACCTGTTGACCATGAGAGCAGCTCACCTGTTGACCATGAGAGCAGCTCACCTGTTGACCATGAGAGCAGCTCACCTGTTGACCATGAGAGCAGCTCACCTGTTGACCATTAGCGCTACCCTGCTGCCAAGCTTGAGAGGCATGTAGCCTGTGTCCTGGGGAAAGTGCGAGGGGGAGGAATGCGAGGGGGAGGAATGGGAGGGAAATGAATGGGAAGGAAAGGCGGGACAAGGAAGGAGGACAGCTTAAGGGGCCAGATGTGAACTCGGGAGGGGTTGTCGATTGTTGTTTTGAGCATGCTTTAGATGCCTTAAAGTCCGACTCACGGGGTTGTTGATGGTATTCAGCATGTGGGAGACGACCACGTCCACTGACTGCATCTCCACCACTGCCGCTCCTGGCTCCCCGTGCTGTATGGGTGGGAGATTACATCATAAGGCGGATGAACGCACACACATAGAGGCAGCATAAGCCCACACCCACGTGCAACCCTCCAAATCCACACAGGCTGCACGTCCACCACTTCTACTCCCGGCTCCCCGTGCCGCATTGGTTGGAGACCAGAATGAGAGAGATTTCTGAGACTTCGAAATAAAAGCTCTCACAAAAATGGGAGAGGGAGAGTTAGACTGTACACGCATGCGAGGCATGGGCATGGGCATGGGCATGGGCATGTTACATGTAGACACACGCCAGGGTGGACACCCAGGGCTGAGCCATGCGCATGCCTATATGTAACCTCGTCAGTCCACCGATACGCATATCCAAGAAACGCACAGAGGAACACCAGCCACTCACAATGCCCAATCCTAGTTCCATTTTGGTTGCGGGGAGTCTATCGGAGGGGAAGCCTCCTGGCACGGTGCACACTGAAAGGCCCACTCCCATGGTGCCCACTAGACCTGAGAGAGAAACACGGGGAGCAATGAAGCATGTTGGGAAGGGGGGGGGAGGGGGGACGCAAGAAAGGGGGGGAGTATGTACATAAAGCAAGCCTCGTGGCGTGGTGCACACAGGGAGGCCACCCCCATGGTGCCCACTAGACCCGGCCTCGCCTGCATGGAGGGGAGGGGGCCGACGGAGGGGGGACGAGGGAGCTGGGAGGAATGGAGGGACAGAATGGGAGAGGCTTCAAGGGGAATAATGACCATCAGTGGGAAAGCCTCCTCGCGCCGTGCACACAGAGAGGCCCACTCCCGTGGTGCACTGCACGCCAGACCTCAGGGCAAAACCCGACCCAAATGAGGACGTTGGGAGGGAGAAGGTGAATGGGAGGGGGGCAGCCAGCCAGCAGCACCTTGGATGGCCATCGGCTGATGGTATCGTCAGACCATACTTTGGACCAACTTTCCGCAGACCGAAGGATCGTATCCCTCTTCCGACCCAATCTGCTGAAAGGTGATCCCCTTTTCTGAACCCTCATCTTCTGAGTTTTTTTTGCTTTTCTTAAAGCCCCACCGGCAGGTTGCAAGTCCCCTTTTCTCAAGATGCTGCACCTTGAGGCCCCCGTAACCGAGCAGCTAGCGTCAAACTGCCAACTGCTCGCGAAGGGTTTCTAACTTGGCAGGGCTGGGGGACCTCTCAGAACTTGGCAGTGCCAACCTGCCAAGTTCTTCAAGGGGAGAAATGGGACGAGTTGTGTGGGGGGTAGAAACCTGCTTTGGTACTCGCAGTTTGGGCGGGAATCGCGGAAGAAAAATGTGTATCGAATTTTTGGTGTCGCAGAAAATCGAACTGTACAGCGTGCCAAACCGCATCCGATTTTTGTTTTCGACACCGGTCAGGACGAGGTGTTGGTTGTGATGTCAACAGCCAATAAGTCACCCTGCAAACTTGGCAGAGCTGGGGAGGTGGTTCTCCGTCAGAGTGAGTGCTCCAAAACTTGGCAGCCCTGCCAAGTTTCCAGCCCCGCTAGCTTGCGCGAACAAACGCTTACTCTGCGAAGGCCAGTCTTCGCCAGAATAATTCGTTTCTATAATTCTTCGTCGACCAATCAGATTCTGCCGCCCCACCAAACTGAACAGTGCAAATATGCAACCTGCCGGGCGGGCTTTAAGCGTCTCAGGAAGTGACCTACGTGACCCCATACGCAATTTCAGGTGCGCGTATAGCTCTCAGCCCTTTCGTGTATACACAACACAACACGCTAAACGCTCAAGATACGCTATACGCACAGCCAGTGTTTTCCGGGTTGCCCCCAGGAAAACTAGGTTTTATTATTATTATTATTATTATTATTATTGTTATTACTACTATTATTATTATTATTATTATTACTATTATTATTATTATTATTATTACTATTATTATTATTATTATTTCCCTCGAGTCCACCACGCGTCTTTCCGAATCCAACTGGATTATCGCCGAGTCGCAAAAGTCAAAATTGTCGCCACAGCTCAACTTCCAACCAAAATCCTCCCCCCCACAATTGCACTGAACCTGATCGCATCTAGGAAGCCCAACCTCCCGTCTGAGGGATCACGCCATCCCTCTCTCACGTCAATTTTGCGTACTTAATTTCACGCGCACGAGTTCGACCAGCCACCACTAACACCCACTCCTAAAATCACCTCTCGCCATTTCTTTGCCCTGCCCCAACCATTTTTAGCCTACCCGGCCGATTATATACCAAGCGTTTGGCTTGCCAAGAATCAAGCGTTTAGTGTATATATGCCAGTGTATGTACGCTAGCGTACCATACGCTAGACGCGTACGGCGTCATGTAGAAAGTGACCCTACGACTCCCCTTTTCATCTTCTGGCTGTGTGTTCATCTTCTGACCCAACGACTCCCCTTTTCGGAACCAGCATCCCACTGTGACCCAATATATCGGACCCACACTCGTTCCCTGATCGAGTCCTCACCTGCCACCTGGCGGGCTTCTGCTGCCACGTCAGCAAGTGACTTGCCCTCCTCTGCTGCTGCTCCCGCCACCTGCAGTGGGAAGGGAGGGACGAGGCAGCAGGTGGGGGATGAGGATTTCGCGAGAGGGACTATGGAGAAAGCGCATAGGTCCCAGTGGAAATGTTTCGATGCTTCTACATTCGTTTCTGCATATCGGTGCATTTTCCCGTACAAAGCAGCTTTATATTCAAACCTCGTCGCGCAAAACGTTGCAAGCATACTCAGCAAATCCCCATGTTTGCACCTCTGAAACACAGCCTTTCTCCACCCACAGCGGTCCGTCACGAGCACGACAACCCACCTTATGCACGAAGACTGTCCCGGCGAGGCCTCGTCTCCCAGCAATACCACAGGATGGCAGCGCGTCCGAGCAGCTTTTGTGGCACCTTTGAGCCTCACACACACAACCAGTCCCGCCTTCACCTCACGCACCACTAAAACGAGCGCGCCCCAGCCCACCTTATGCACAAAGACTGTCCCGGCGAGGCCTCTTCTCCCGGCAATGCCACGGGGCGGGGGCAGAGCGCAGTCATCCCCCACCACCACCATCTGCAGGACCGGAGCCAGAGGAATCCAAGGACGGGAGGAGTGAGAACGTTTGGGCAAAAACAAAAACCGCCAACAAGCACAAGAGCGCAGTCATACCCCAGCAGCACCATCCGCAGGAACAGACCCGGGAGTATGCAGGGATGGGAGGGCATAAGAACAAGAGCACTGATCATGGGTACGAAATGCGGAGGCTGAGAGCCCAGACATCCCGTAACGAGTACGGAACAGGAGGCACAGCACAGCACAGTGCATTGCGGTGCAGTGCGGTGGATGACTCACATCGACTTTAAAGCCCTCCTCCTTGGCTTGTTCTGCTGCCAACCCAAAGTTGAGCCTATCTCCTGTGTAGTTCTGGGAGGACGAAGGAAGAAAGAGAAAGACAAGTCGCCTCAAAAATCAACCCACACGGCCTGACTATTATGATTCTGGGGGCAAGTTCAGAAAGAGAAGTGCATCATCACTTTTACAATAACCCATTACATTACAATAAGACACACACCTTGACGATTAAGAGGCAGCCAGCAGGCCCAGTCACTGCCCGAATGGCCTGCACAGGCAGAGCAGAGGCACACGCAAAGGGGTGTTCTTGGACAGGCACATGAACAAGCGCATGAAGGGGGATGCGCATGAAAGGGGATGCGCATGAAGGGGGATGTGCATGAAGGGTGAGCTCCTGGGGGGGGGTCTAGGAGACAGTTGGTTGAGGAATGCATCAGTTTCCTGGTAATTCCAGCGCGCTGCTGTGAGATACACTGTTCGCTTGACGTAAAAGAAAATTTCCGAGAGGAACGATCCACCAACAAGCTCCCGCGGCACTGGAGGCCCAACTGGCTTCGAATTTGACCACAAAGAAAGCCTCTACAGAGGAAAATCAAACCCTCCAAGATCAAGCATTAGCCGCCATATATTACACCATGAGAACAACATTGATTGAAGGAGACACAAAGACATCAGCGCACACAGTGGCAGTGAGCATGCCCGTTCCCACGAACCCTACATGCACCCTCTACAGTCCACTCAACAGCCCACCTCCACACGTCCAACGTACCATGAGAGCAGCATTTACAGAGGGGGAAGCGAAGACATCGCCGCACACGGCGGCGGTCAGCATGCCCGTCCCCACCAACCCTGCACTTGTCAGCACCCTGTATGATTGGCTCAACACACACCTCCACACCTCCAACGCACCATGAGAACGGCATTGACAGACGGGGAAGCGAAGACATCGCCGCACACGGCGGCGGTCAGCATGCCCGTCCCCACAAACCCTGCATGCGCTGGCTCATGACCGCTTCCCCCGCCGGAAATGACGGCCACCTTGCCGTACGTCCCTCTGCTGACGTCAGCTCGCAGCACGACCTTGACCTGCCATTGGACGAGATTGAGTACCAGTTGAAGAAAGAAAAAGCCAGCAGACCTCTCGCCATACCCTAGAGTCGCCGGGGTAAGACTGATCTGGAATTGGGTCCCTCTCTTCGTAAAGAAGCGAATTCGGGAGATGAGAGCGGCTAATCTACTAATTCTTGAGCAATTCTACGCGGAACTCACGTCAGGGAAGCCATCTAGGTACTGCAGGTTGGGATAGGTCTCCACCAAGTAGTGGTTTTAGCCATACGTGGCAGCGGGTATGTGAAAACACTTCGTTCGTAAAAGAGTTTCTTGTTCACGCGGAACTCACGTCAGGGAAGCCATCTAGGTACTGCAGGTTGGGGTAGGTCTCCACCAAGCCCTCGATCATCTCGAGGACCACATCTGCGCAGCGCTTAGATCGGGAATTGGGGACAACGTAGGGCCATTATAAAGAGGATATGAAAAACCTTCCTGAACAACGTATTCTCTAAGAGAATTCAGGTGCCTCAACCTAGCCTGACAATGCCTTTTTTAGAGCGGAAAGCGGGAATTGCGTACTAATCTGGGACGATGCGACTCTGGAGCTGATTGGTCCACACCTGACGGGTCATTTATGAGCTTCTTTGCGCCTGACATCCTTGTTCGCACGCAAATGCACGAGAGGAGCGTGCGCGACGGCAACGTTCGGAAGGACGTGAACGTTCCGTGCCACGACTAGCGGATTGGACCTGACCCCTCAAGGAAAAGGTACACGCCTGTCACGCTGGGTGAACTATTCCTGAGCTGAATTCGAAGTTCATACTCCTAATTACGTCATAAATAGTTCAGGACCTACAAGATAAATGCCAGTCTTGAGTGCAAGCGACATCTTTTGTCAGACAAACTTGACTGACAAGGAGTGGTTCGGGACGCAGATAATACCGAGGGGACTTGGCGGGGAATACCGAAAGGAAGGCTGGTTTGGGAGTGGTTTGGCCTGGCAGGACACACTAGGTGGAGCAGGCTCGTGAATGGCTTGGAAGTAGGTTTGACATCTAGGTACACGTGGACAGGGTGAGGCAGGCCATGGGACTGTAACAAAACCAGCGCTGGCTTTCAGATCAGCCTGCAGGAGCTTCTATTGGTTGGATGACGAGATTCCTCGCTGGCAGGTGACACGAGGAATGCCAGGGTGCTCTGAGAGTCACGCGATAATCTCAAAAGAAACCCCCCAAATATTAAATGGTTTATTAATACACACGCGCATTTATCTACACTCGCGTATTTTCAATCAGGCTGTCGAGTCAGTCTATTCGTGCTCATTTGCCATTCGTTGTCCTGACTCTGCATGTTGGTGGGGTTACCCACCTGAGAGGCACAGTTTTGTCCAGCCAGGCCAGTGTGACAGCCACCTGCGTGAAGCCCTCAGGTCCTATTTCCAGCCTGGCGAAAGAAAAAACGATTGTCCCATAACTGCACATAATTATTCTCTCATTTCCTAACCATACCATTTTTCGCACCACCATTTGCAGGAAACTTTAGCAAATATCCCAGAATATTGAACATAGCAAATTCCTCCCCGAAAGCGTTGGTTTGGTTTCGCTCCTTCCATATTGGCCCTTCAGCCCAAACCAGCCAAACCGCTGCCACGGGACAGTCTGCGATTCGGGACGGGAAGGGGCAGGTGACGATCCATACAGATTTCCAACGTACAGGACACCCGCCACACGAGCCGCCCCTAACCCAACTCCGTCAAATCCAGCCTCCACAGTCTGCCCCAATCTGCGGTGCACCGAGCACGAAAAATGTAGCAAGTCCTTTCATCGCCGTCGATCTCGACTGCGACCTTCATCTCACCCGTTCTTTCATGGCAAAGGTCCCCACAACAGCGGGCAATGCCTGGCACTGCATGCACCACAGCAAGAGACTTGAGTTGAATTCAGCCCCATTTTGCTGTCACCTCCCCTCCCTCCCACGCAACAACTCGTCCCCTCTCCCACCACCCCACCCCACTCTCCTGTCATGGTTCAGTCATCACAAAGTAAGAGAGACCCTTGCGAGGACGACTCGAAACAAAGTACACCTTGAGCCTGACAGAGGAACACAGCTTTTCTGAGCTTCGCCGGAGCGCTATTCTGAGCGGGGCTGGAAGTTTGTGGCGAAAACGGTTGCGGCGCACATCTTTCGTCTTGTGCCGCATGTTCGTCACCGCTGTCATGATGACGCTGCACTGTTGGCTCTGTTCACGGCCCACGTTGAGTGGGCCGTTGCCCATGTGCCAACGCTAATGGGCGATGGTTTCTTATTGGGCCACGTATTGAGCTGAGCCTTAGGTGTGCACCCTGTGTAGGTGCGTGTGAGAGGGCCGCCACCACTTCGCTGGGCTGCGCTACTATGAGGGGCATCAGTCGGTCAGTACAGTACAACAGATCGATCACGCTGGTCTGTGAAGGAATGTGTCGCATGACAGAGTTGCGGGGCATCAGCTCCAGAGCAGAGGTGAAGGGGATTGGTACTGTACAACTGTACTGTTTGGTTCTGTACGTACAGTGTACTGCCGCAGATGCAGAATTTGTTTCTTCAGTTTCACAACATTGTTGTCGTCGTGTCGGTCCTGCCTGAGTCACAACTCAACTCAACACATTCCATCCATCCACCCACCCCACCCCACCCATCCCAGTCGCACAGCTCAGTTTCCTGTTGACTGGCTCGCCCTACCTCTCGTCCGCACCTTGTTGTACATCTCCTCCAGATTCCACTTCCAAACGACCCACCCTGCCTGCACCTGCTTTGTGTGCATGCCATTGGCCGCATAATCCGCCGCACAACCCGCCGCCCCTTCCGAATGAGACCCTCTTAGCTTACGACTCCAGCCTTGCGGCCGTGCAATGGCTGTGCGGCTGCCGCCGGGCCACCACGTGGGACCGCCACGTGGACCGGCAGCGGCAATCGCGGCGGCGCCTTTCCTCCTGCTCCTCCTGTCCGTCGCGCTTCTCCCGTCCCCCGCATTCTGCCAATACTCGGCAATAGGCCTCCCGGTAGGGATAGTAGCCGGCGGCGTGTACGACCCTCTCACAGGCGACACGACGTCCCGGACATGGGAGGTTAATCTCCGGACGCGCCGCGAAATAGGCGACTCGGGACTAGCCGACAGCAACCCGAATGCGCAGCTCACTTCCTGCGGCGTCGCGACGGACGGCACGGCCTACATCTCGTCGGGCGGCTCGTACTTAAACGCGATTAACTACACCCTAGACGGCGCCGTGCCGCTACAGCCCGTATCGCTCCCAGGCGGCTTCTCGGGTACGGTTGTGGCGCTCGGGGGAGCTTCGGAGAATCTTCTGGTTGTAGCGGATGGGTCGGATTCAGCCGCGGGTGCTGTTTCCGTGAACCGGGAGACGGGGGCGTCGACGAAACTCGTCGGAGCGGGATACCAGTGCCTATCCGCTTCGTTCTGCTCTTCGCCCACCGCCTCCCCGCCGGATTTCCTCATCCTGACGTGCCACGTCACGGCCGACGATTCTGACGTGGTGGTAATCGTGCCGATAGACCCGTTGACGGGGAGCTTTAACGCCGCCTCGGCGATTAAGATGCTCTCGGCGCCGTACGCGGCTCGGCAGGCCGTCTGTTCTCCCGGCGGCGGCTTCTTAGCCGTTCTCCGGTACGACTCTAACGTGCTCTACACCTACGCGCTTCCGCTCGCGGGAACCGCGCTCCCGGCGCCGCTATCGACAACGGTGCTGACGTCAGGCACGCCCGGGTCGCTCGGCGTGGATCCAGCGAATAAGAACGTGCTGGTAACCAGCGCCGCGAACTACGGCGGCACGTCGACACTGATGGCGTCGCAGGGCAAAACCTATTTGGGAACTATGGACGCTATTGGCTACACGGAGACCGGAGGATGCGCCTCGGCGGCGTACTTAGGCCCGTTTCAATACTCCACCGCCGCATTCGACGGCGGGCAGCTCGCGGTGTATCCCAGCAGCCCGGCGCTGGCGCTGCTCGCGCTTCCGGAGGGCGTGTACGCGATGCCGCTGGCGGCGGACGGCGCGGTCGAGACCGACTCGACGGGATTCGTCCCCCTCGGGAGTACCGAGGCGGGGCTGAGCTTCTTCGCCAGCGCCGTTTGCGTGCAGAAATTCGTCGCGAATCTCCCGCCGCCGTCGCCGCCTCCGCCGTCCCCGCCTCCCCCGAGGCCTCCCCCACCGCGCCCTCCGCCATCCCCGCCGCCCCCGCCTAAGCCGCCAAGCCCGCCGAAGCCGCCGCCGCCGTCCCCTCCGCCGAAGCCGCCGCCGAGCCCGCCGAAGCCGCCGCCTCCGCCGAAACCGCCTTCCCCTCCGCCGCCGCCGAAGCCGCCGAGCCCCCCGCCGAAACCGCCGCCGCCGTCTCCGCCGCCGAAGCCGCCGCCCAGTCCGCCGAAACCGCCTCCGCCTCGTCCTCCCCCTCCCCCGTCTCCCCCGTCTCCCCCCGGGAGCACTGTCCTGGTGGTGGATCAATCCACCGCTTCCGCCACCGTCTCTTCCCCCCCCCCCCCGTGGCCTCCCCGCCTCCCTCGTGGCCTCCCCGCCTCCCCTCGTGGCCTCCCCGCCTCCCCTCGTGTCCTCTCCGCCTCCGCTCGTCGCTTCTCCGCCTCCGCTCGTCGCTTCTCCGCCTCCCCTGATTGCCTCGCCTCCTCCGCTTGTCTCCTCTCCGCCCCCGCTAGCCTTGTCTCCCCCCCCGCTGGTCTCCTCCCCTCCGCCGCCCAACCCTCCGCTCCCGCCATCTCCGCCTCCTCCCCCCAAGCCCCCAAGTCCCCCGCCTCCGCCCTCTCCCCGCCTCCGCCCTCTCCCCCACCTCCGCCCTCTCCCTCGAAACCCCCTTCCCCCCCGCCTCCGCCCTCACCCCTTCTTTCCCCTCCCCCTATATTTTCCCCGCCTCCCCTTGTGAATTCTCCGCCTCCCCCTGTGGATTCCCCCCCTCCCCCGATGCCCCCGCTTGCGATAGCAGTCGCGAACACTCTTTCTCCGCCTCCTCCTGGCTCCGTTGTAAGCAGCCCACCTCCTGTCGTTGAACCCGTTATAAGCAGCCCACCTCCTGTCGTTGAACCCGTTATAAGCAGCCCGCCTCCTCCTACTGTCGACTCTACTGCAAGCAGGACGCATCCTCCTACCGAACCCGTAATAAGCAGCCCGCCTCCACCCGTCACTGAACCCGTTATAAGCAGCCCGCCTCCGCCCGTCACTGTACCCGTTATAAGCAGCCCGCCTCCGCCCGTCACTGTACCCGTTATAAGCAGCCCGCCTCCGCCCGTCACTGTACCCATTATAAGCAGCCCGCCTCCGCCCGTCACTGTACCCGTTATAAGCAGCCCGCCTCCGCCCGTCCTTCCTAGCGCATCCGCCACCCTCTCCCCGCCAGGCGCCAAAGAAGCTTCCGCGGATCTCCCCGCTGACTCCGGCTCAGATCCTTCCGCTACTGCCCTTCCGCCCCCGCCGCCCCCGAAGACACAATCCTCACCTCCCCCGAACCCGCCTCCCCCGCGCCCGCCCCCCCCGCGTCCGCCTCCCCCAACGAAAGCGCCTGTGAAAAAGCCCAAGAAAAAGCCGCCGAAGAAGAAGAGAAAATCGATCTCCAAGAGCGGGGGAGGGGGTGCGGCTGCGACGGTGTCCTCGCTATCAGCCGATGTGTTCGGCGATTCCGGTGCGGAAGTTACTGGTGTAGACCGCGATTGCTGGGTGTAGACCCTGAGTGTAGAGTCAATGCAACATGCTTGCTTTCCTGTGCCATTCATTCTCTTTTTTCTGTGCCTCGCGCCCCTTCAGCTGTGTGTACCATGTGCCTCGCGCACCTCAGCATGCCCCTTTCTCCCATCCCCTTCCCTCTTCCCCCCATCCCCTT